ACATGCCGACACCCAAAATTGACATCTTCGTAACCACTCCTCCGCCCCTCCGCTGAAATTCTACTCAAGAGAAACACCAAAAACAGTTTGTGAAACGGAATGATCTCTCTCACACAACAACCTCCAATATAAGTACTCCTCCACCCTGTTTTAAACATATACTACTACTATATAACTCACTCCTCCACGTCTCTTCTAAAAACCTCGCAACATGTTCATGTGTTAGGAGTCTACAGGGTAGGGGGGGCAGCTATTGAAAAAGATGACAAGGAAGTGGGTGACTTCGCAAAGATGGCGCTTTTGACACATCCCTCACAACCCCCCTTTTTTTTTGCACGAGTGGAGGCGCTGTGTGTGCAGGTTATGCACAAGTCACCTTAGTCGAGTTGAGAGTGAGTTACAGATCAGGTTGCGACACAAGAAAGAGAACGAAAAGAGCACCAAACCAAAACCCAAACCAAAAACACCCCCACCAAAACAAGCGCAACCTGTGAAGTAACTCAGTGGCCGTAAGGGCATGAAGAAAGGTGAAACAAGGGCGATGAATTCAGCAAAAACGCTCAGTACTTCTTGTCCTTCAACGAAGTGCACGGAGTGCATCCAACAAGGAGGCACAAGTGTAAGCGGAAAGGCACCAAGGGCAAGACATCGCAAGCACGGTATTGAGGGCCATATGCCCGTGGTAGTCACTACGAGTATTGAGCTTGGTCGGCAATGAGGACATTGGTCGAAACCTGAGCCACAATTTAACGACGTCAGTTCACAGTCGTTTGATGTGTGAGTACCTAAACGAATGCGAATATGCAAGGATACCTAGGAATGTCCCATTGTATTCAAAGTTGGGCACATTCAAGCCAGATGGCTTACTCGATGGCTGGCAGTGACAGGTATGCGGAACCAAATGAGTGGCAGCATGGGAAGACCACAGCCTTCAAGCTCGGCATTTCCAAAAAACCGAGAGTGAAAGACCATGTAAGGCCACAAAGAGGGGTTCAAGGGCAGTGGAGTGGCCCACACCGTACCTCTCCCCGAGGGGGGAGGCACTAACCAGAGCACATCAAGCAACGATGGCCCACGAACAGCTTGGCAGTGGGTTCTAGGCGTGACGTGCTCCAGGACAGGGCACTCATGTCGTGGAGATGCTGCAAAAAATCGCTTTCAGCCATCTGACTGGTTGCGGCCAGCAGAAGCAGCCGTTTCATGCAGGGCCCCATAAACT